CCTGGGGTGGCAGGATGGGACTGCAGCAGCGGGGAAGGGTTTTCCCTCGTTCGCCGAGTGCTGACGCATTTTACAGTTAAGGACACCAACCTTGCAGTGACGACTTTGCCACCAAACAGAACGACAGCAAATACCAAAATAGCTGCAGTTCACCCCGAGGCCGGAGGCAGCCTCAACCGCAGCCTTCCCATCGCAGCGGGCAACGGCAACGAGTGTACCCTTCTTCAAAGACGCGTGTTGGTGCTTTGGGGTTTTTTAGAGACACTAATGGGAGGGAAAACGCATTTTTTCTACCCCACAGGCCTCCTGGCTTAGTGTGGACTGGTGATTTGAATAATTTTTATTGCCCTGCCTAAAAGGCGTTTGGAACTCTGTAAGCAGCCTTCAGAGAGTGATTGTCCCTCTCCAAAAGCCCCCATAAAAATGAGTCAAAGCTCTGTTCAGACTTAAAGGATGCCCTCGAGACCATTAGCTCTGCTTTGGAACTGCAGCCCTCACCCATTAAGATAAAAATAAATAGAGCTTATTTTAGGAAGGAGGAAGTGGGAACCAGCCCAAGCACCAGTGAGCCACTGCAAGCGCAGCACGGAAGGTGTGTCAAAGCCGGGTTTTTTTCTTCCGACTCAAGCACCTCCTAATTCAATGTGACATTCAGCGATCTTTCTGACTTGCCGCAGCTGGCTCCTGCCTCGGTATCTAGTAACACAGATGACTAAGAAAAGACTCTTCTGAAAATGCCCCGTGTTTTCCAAAATACAAAGAAGCTCCAGCCCCGCGTCTGGAGTCTGTAGCATCATCATCAGCAATCCCACTATCTGGGGACCGGGGCAGCGTTTGCCCAAGCCAGGAAAGCTGGTGACAAACGTCGCTTACCCGTCGTGGGACAGTGCCTGGATCCTTCAGGGCAAAGCCACAGCCCCTGGGGACGAGCGAGTTACTGCCATTGCGTGCGAACACCGAAAGTCTGCGCAGATGCAGCAGCTGCAGACACAATCCCCTCCTGCTGCTGCTTTCCAAGCAGAGAATTTTGCATTACAGCTGGCTTTTCCCTTCTCAGAGAATTATTTGCTAAAAACAGTCTTTCAGCTATTCCTAAAACACTGAGAAAGTATATCAGCAGAATGTGCTGACGTCAGCCCCTGCAGCCCCGCACTTGGCTTCTGTGCACGCCCAGGCACCGAGTAAAGCCAGAGGCCCGCTGAAGGCAGCTTGTCCCCAGCTTGGGTCCCACGCAGCCCGGCGAGATGCCGTAACCCGCTCCGTGCGGAACCAGGAGCAGCGCCAACGCGGCGTCCAGCGGGTGGCTCCAGCCTCAGGCCTCGCGCTCCGGCACCCGCTTCCCCCACGTGCCGTCGGCACCACGTGCTAGCGGCTTGTGAACGGAGCAGCGACGGGTTTCAGATTCTGCTGTGAGGGGGTGTTGGAGCCACATTCGTGGTCCTTGGCTTTGTATTAAAAATCAGGAACAAGTGCGTGCGCAGGCGCGGTAAGGAATCCGAGGAAGGGGCCCGCTCTTCAGAGGTGTGGCGGGAGACAGAGCGATGGGCCGAGGCCTGTGCTTAGATCCAAGTGAGTGGCAGGGTGGAGGCTGTTTCTAGAATCCTTTGGAATTACTGGACTTACTTTTAAGACTTAGCTTAGTCTAAGTGTAGCTTAGAAATGTTGGGGTTCCCTGAGCTGCCCACTGAGGTCTGACATACATTCTGCAGAAGCACAGATCGTCGCTATCTACCGCCCCAGTGGGTTCCTGGGTGGGTCACCTGGGAGACGTGGACAGATTTGTTTCACGTAGAACAAGTAGTTTAAGTCAGGGCGGCATTGCTCCGTGTTTGTTTCATCCTGCAAAAGAAACGCAGGGGAGCGCTGACGGAACGTCGGCCCGAGCAGAGCAGCTGGCGTTGCAGCCAGAAGCGGTACGGGACACCGCAGCTCCTGGGTGGCATGAGCAAGCACAGAAAATCCTGTCTCTCCCTCACAGCTGAACTCCAGGTCATCCCCAACTGCTAGCATTC